TTATGCCATTAACTGTCAAAAATTAGAATATCCTGAATGTAGATTTTAATTATATTTAACATTGCAACTTTCTCTCACATATTTTACACCAAGTTTGGGATTTTGAGACGTTTTGGACGAGGGCATTATATTAAATGACACTGGCTGTTTAAAAATTGTAGACTTTTCGTCTTAGCCTTTTGTCCGGTGAATCAACCAATCGACTAAAATTATCCTCATAAAATACAATGTTGTTCAGCATTGATTTCACCAATCCATTTTCGTTACATAGCTCAAAGTATTAAACCATTTTTAAGTCATGTTTCTTCATAATGTTGTAGGTTCTTTAATCTAATTTAATATATATTTCATTTTCCTTTTTCCAACGGTTTTTTTCTAGTTCTAAACAAAACTATACATATTCTTCTTGCTCCTTAAAGAACTTAAAAATTTTAAACTGACTTAAAAGGAAGATGTTTAATTATTTTTTTCAACACTCCTTTTTTATTTTGCATTGAATTTCTAGTGGATTATTTTGCGTCGCTGTCCATGAACATTCCATAACGTTGTCAGGAATAACAGGATTATCCAACCACTTCCCTAGTAGACGACAACCTCGATGACACTGTGTTAGCGGGTGCTTCAATGTATCATCCATGTTTGTAAGGAGATTTTATGTCACCGCTGAACATATTTTACGTATTGTTTTCTGATTTCTTCAGTATTTTTGTGATCCATCGCTAGTTCTATTTGGATTTTTCATCATAGGCACAGATTATAATGAAATATGCAACTTGACATTATTTCCCGTGAAAATACTATTCCTAAATCATTAATTGTCGGTACTTCGAAGTCTAAGTTTACAGTTTTCGAAGACCATTCTTCGAACCATTTTTTAAATTTTAAAACGAAGCATAATACGTGTAGATTCTCTTTTATCCGATAAAAAAAAATATTGCCGGATAAATATTTATTTTGCGGTGTTCCACAATCATTGTGAATAAGAGATTATTGCAGAAACTTTGGGAACAAAACAACTCTTAAATGCTCTGCCGGAAAAAAAAAATATATATTTCTCATGTTGTCAAAAGGCTTTTAACATTCTATCCAGCAAATGCTAGACTTCTTTTTGGCACAATCGTTCTCTATATCTAATCTCATGAAACTTTCATTATTCGACAAACAATTGACATTAAGAGGAAAGAAAATGTTCTTACTTAACGCTTTTTCCTGAAGATATCCTAATACTTTTCTTATTTCTTCGCGCAATGACGTCTTTGCATTTTCATTTTTTGGAACTTCAACCACTAATTCGTATCCATTAAATAAAGAGTCTTAGAAAAGTCTTTGCGAAAAATTTCATGTATTTCTCTAAACTTTTTACACATATCTATCGTCTTTTTTACTTTAATACCTGCAATAATGGGTACGGAGAAATGGTTTGCTGGCCTTATGATTCCATATCGCAAACTATCCTTTACATTCTCTTCGCATTCATATTTTTAATTCTTCCATACATACCCGACTGACGCGGTGTTCTATGTGTAGACAATTCTGATATCTGTCAACTATTAAGCAAGGTTTTCTGTTTCTAGTTTTTATTTCAACAGGCTCAGTCATGAATTTTAACGAAGTTGAGTTTTTAAGAAAAAAAAAAAAATGTGGCTTTGCATCAGTTCGCTTTCAGATTACAAAATAAGTTCCAGCTTAGATTGTGTTAGGGCGTTTTTGTTCAGAATCTAATGTGACCAAATGAGTAATTGACTAACCATTGACAATGAACTAGATGGTTTTGAAGAAGCGAAATTCGTTTACGATCCCTCACCACCATTGACTACAGCTCAGGAGAAGGGGCAATGGTCTGTCTACAAGAGAATAACTGGTTGCGTTGCACATGTGCAACGCAACTAGAAGGCCAGAGAGAAAAGCTGACCTGTGCCAAAGTGAAGGGCTGGATCATCCCTTTGAGGAGAACGATGTTGACTCGAGCCCCCTTGAGTAGCTTATGCTATGTGGCGTCCCTGGGTTCTTTACCTCGCCTACTGACCAGAGCCACCACCTCCTAACAGAAAAAAGCCAAGACATTGAAGTGAGAGGAAGTTTTGGAGTCACAGGTAGTCGTCTCACGGGCTGCTTCCAGCAAGCTCAGAACTCCATAGTATTCGGTGAGCGACGAACCTGCAGCGATTCTTTTCAATATTTATATTAATTGTTCTCGCAATCTTATAATTAAAAATAAGTTCGATTTTGCTGTATTTTTTATGTTTTTTAAAGTCTTTATCAGTTTTTTTAATTATTTTTATTGATGCATTTGTGATGTTTATGTTTTTGTTATTAGATTTTGGTCTGTTGATGAGAAGTTTATAGTTCATAACTTTCAGTCTCGCCGGTTTTAATCACTTTAAACAAATATTTTTCTTCAAAGCCAAACATTTTAATCGCGAAAACTGTAATATTAACTTTCATATAGTTCTTATTTGGAGAAAGATAAATATGAATGAAATAAAGTGTTACATCAGAAAAATTCTAGATTTAGTTTTAGTATATTGTGTAGGCAGATTTTTCAATTATTCCAAAATCTCCTAATTTATATGTCAAAAGACAAGAAACTACCAAATAATGATAATTGCTTTAATTTTGAACTTTTCGTATTGATGTATACAAGTTTGGCATAAGTGTCTTTAAGGTAATTTATTGATTACTTTCGATACTCAGTGTTTATTATACACAATAATTTCCCAATTTTATAAATTTCTTTAAAATGTAAATAAAATGTATAGATATATATAGATGTGAGAAACTCGTTTTCGAGCAGATGAATTGAAATCAAAATGTTTGAAGAAAAATTAGCACTACTGATTAAAGCTCCTATGTCTCAGCCGTGTTTGAAAAGGGGATCTGTTCCCTGTCAGTTTCCTGATGGCCCATCCTACATGTCATCGGATTCTGCATCAAGATGTGGGATTTTCACTTGTGTATTTCTCAGTTACTGTAGAAAGTGAAGAATCTTAAGAACTGCTAAGCGAATAATCGCTTAAGTTCGTGTGACAAGAAACAACAAGATGGAAGGGTAACTAACCCTTTATTATTCATATAAGATTTAACAGAACTCAGTCTTGGAGTGTACAATAAAAGCCGACACTTGGGCGTGAACTTAAGAGACTAAGAAATAAACTAAAACTAATTTTAAACTAAAAAAAGAGATATAGCCGAAGCTATCAAGATTCTAATCGAGTTGGCCCCTTAACTCTATTTGACTACGAAGCTATCAAGGGCCTGAGTACGGCCGAGCGTAATAACAGCTTTGAGAAAGAGTAGCCAAAAGGCAGACGCGTGCAAATCAGAAACTCTGATTCTCTCTAACTCAGCAAGTAGAACTTCGCGGTTTAAATACCGCTCCTCCTCATTAAGTATTCAGACGTGATTCTAAAACTACGTTCTAACCGGAAGTAGTAAGTTAAAGATTTGATAGGAAATAAGTTTAACTCAAAATTAAAACTGTTAATAAAATTAAAATAATCTTACAAAGAGTCACCTGAAAAAAAAAATACATGGAGAAACCATTAGAAGAAAGTTTAAAAGCAAATAAAAGTATGATGGTGAACCATCATTTGAAAACTTCAGTATATGCTTAGAACATCAAATATTTGAAAAATTTTGGACGACTGTGCATATTGAAAATTCTACAATGTTAAATGACACCTCCAGATATTCTGAAATCGGTAGTGGTAAATGAGGATTTAATTGCATCCATTTATATTAAGAATATCTCTATAACATATATTGGTAATTTTATCTCTTTAAAAATTAGTAACATAAATATGTTTCTAGAAGTAAGCACTAAAGAATGTTGAAAGCCTGTCTCATAACTTTCGAAACCGAGAAAACTGTATACGAATTATGGATGATATGCTTCAAAATTGAAAATCGTACTACCTGAAAAATAATCTGAACTAAACTTCCTTTCCGAGCAAGTAATTAACCTGAATATGAACTTAGAGAAATATTGATATATATATATATACTTCAGACTTACTTATTTTTTTGTCGTTTGTTAAACTTGATCTTACAACATGCATATAAATTTTTACACTGTAAAATTATTACAGTTACTATTTTATTCCTCACCCTCGTGCTATTAGTAGAATTCGTTCAAATTTCTCTGTTAATCTTATTACTGAACAATTTAATGATGGGTTTTTTTCTTTTAGTATATGTTAAAAAGAATACGACAATAATTACTATTATTTTATTGAATATTTAGAAGAAAATGGTAAAACTATCATTATTATGATGGATAAAGTGCATTTAAATTCATGTTTTGATTTTAAAGGAGGGAATTTATGCGGCAAGGATAATGATAATAGGTTTAATTTTGACATCTTCTTAGTGATGTATATAAGCTTGGCATTAATGTATTTAGGGTAATTTATTATGTTCGATACTCAGTCTTTGTTTTGGCCTATAATTTTTCAGTGTTATAAATTTTTTTTAAATGTAAATAAAACTGTGATCATGATGAGTTTCTAGATATTACAAATTACTTAGGAAATTACATATTTAATCGAAATTATATCACTGGCTTTTTAACTGGTATTTAGTCATTGACTTCTGTTATTAAATATTAACACATGTGTAATTATTACAATGACAATAAGCTAATTTTAAAATATCTTGTTTTATAGATGTGTGAACTGCATTTTCGAGCAGTGAAGTGCAACAAGAAATCGAAATCTTTGACGAAAAATCAGCATAACTGATTATAGCTCCTATTTCGCAGCCTTATTTCAAAAATTGATCTGTTCCCTATCAATTTTCTGAAGCAACAGAACTAAAAACAAAAAGACCGAAGTCATTGCTTAAGAATCGCTCTTCACTCCCAGTGTCTCTACTCCTCTGTAAGACCACGAAGAGCCCACCATCGAAGCAGTTGGTCTCTGTCCGTTTCTTCTCCAGAATCACAAAGTGGGCAAATAGGATCGCTTGAAGTACCTATGTGGTGCAGATGGGCGGCAAGGCAATCATAAGGCTGTACGAGTCTGAAGATCTCGTAAGATATTAGACGTAAATAAACTTTCTAAAAAGTTTAATTCTCCATTAAGAAATGGCTGCATTAGGATGTTGTAGTAAGCTGGCCAGGTTGTAGTAAGCAAGTTCTCTTGTTCATTGCCCCAAAGACCACAATAGGCAGGCGCCCACTGGAGAACGATTTGTTTCCCCTTTAAAGTGAGAGTTCTCAGGAGTTCTTGACATTGCAAAATTTCAAGTGTTAGTGGGTGTTCAACAGAGCTAATTGATCGAATGGCTGCTTGAGAATCAGAAAAAATAACTGCCTTTGCAAACTTGTAATGAATAGCTAATAATTGCTTTAGGGCTATATAGATGGCTACTAGTTCACCATCAAAGGAGGTACCAATGTATCCTGTAGGGGCGTAAAAAGAAAGAAGATTCGAAAACACACCATCCCCGACCATGTTATAGAGATATTGAACCTTGAAATGACATTCAAACTGAGAACCATCAGTAAAATTGTGCAGCCACTTAGTAGGTGGATATTTAGCCGCAATGACCTCTAAAGTGAGACATTTCAAAACGCTTGGTGCAGCATCTCTCTTTCTATGGATGGTTTTCATTAGGTCTAGCCTTACTTTGACATGAAAGACATTATATGTTAAAGAGTCAATAAAGAGGATATTGTCAACGCTAAGAATACTAGAATATCAAGTAGTTACTACAGTGAATCTGATTATGAAGATTATGTAGCAAACAGTTTGCTAGGATTACCGATAAAAAAGGGCGCTGAAAGCAACTGCTATCCAAACTATTAATATACCTGACTTGCAAATGCTGCAGAAAAGAAAAAATTACAAAGTGCATTTGATAGAATTCGAATTTTAAGTCCCAAAAGACATATCTGGAACTTCAAATTAGAAACAATTATAGTCATGAGGATCTAAATTAATGTAATGTTACTGAGAAATTTTGTAATTGCTCTAGCCTCCAAAAAGATGTAAGGTCCCCTTCTTATCTGCACTCAGTGTTTGTCAACAGTCTGCTATTGTTTGAAATAATGCATAACTTTTTTACTTACCTTCAAATAATTTCCTTTGAATTAACAGATAGAAGTCTTTCATTAAAAACCTAATGTCATGCTTTTTGAATAAGCATAAAACTTTGTCAACTGACCTTAATTTTTAAAGCCTTGTTTCCCTTAAAATGCTTAATACAATTATGCCTTTAAGAAATTTATTTCTAAAATTAATACTTCAGTTTAGCTTAAAATTTAATGCATTTTAATTTTATCTATAATTTTTTACAAACATAATATGTAATAAATCTAAGCTTAATATTTACCATTTCGAAAGTGATACTAAAACGTATTTCTAGTTATTATAAATTTCGAGATTCGCATACAAAATTGTGAAATAAACATGTGACAACAGAAAACAAACTTTATGCTCTCTCTATATTACAGCATGTTAATTAAGAAGTTTATTGAATTTATAATTTTATTGTGAAACACTATGAAGCAAATAATATGCTAATTAAAATACAGAAGTAAAAATAATTTATTACTTAATTCATAAACTTTACATAAAACCTGAAAAAAAGAATTAATTAAAAAATAATAATATAATTTAAAATAAACATTTCATAAAAATTCGTTTCGACTGCTTGGAAAAAAAATGAATGGTTTTTCCCCCCCTCTTTGTAAACCATGTCTCCTAAATAAAGAAAAAAAACATTTCTTTTTAAAATCATAATCACGCTCTTAAAAAGCTTATAAAAATTATTTTAATAGATGTTTTAAACATGTGCTTATATAACACTTTTAATCATATTTCTTTATAATATCTTAATTAATTAAGAACAGCTTAAATTCTTTAAAAAATTGGATTACAGTGAACCGTCTCATTACGACAAGCTACCTCAGTCAATCACTTTTTAAATTTAACCAGCATTCCTCATAAAATAACTAATTAGTAAACATAACTTCTCTAGGATGCCCACTATCATTTAAAGATAAAAATTTTCAGGAATCACGTATAGCTAGCTTAGAGAAGGTTCATTGTACAAAAACAGCCAATATGCAAATTTTCATAAATGAAGCCACCATAGTTATTAAATATAATATACAGTATACTTATATTCAGAATTCAGAACTTGAATAAATTTCTCGAACTGTTTTAGCATTCGAAAAATATTATATTTATTACCTTAAATTTCTAAAACAATATTACATATTCTTCCAAAGGAATCACTGGGACTCGGACAACATTTTCCCCCTAGCTTTCTTTTAGCACAGGATTCTGAATATGTTTTTAATGATTTAGGTAATGTTTGTCTTCCTTAAGGCACTCACAAAACAAGTTACCCTAAATGTTTTTTGTCCGCATAGTGGTCATTTTCATCTTACTAACTGATTTGCTAGTGGATTTTGGGTGCATGGCCTATTCATTGATGAAACAATAATAGTGAACAGCTTCAAGAAAATGGGGATATCTAATGCTCTTGAATGCCATATTCCCACTTATTTTTACTAATTTTATCTTCCGAAAATTAAGAGGGAAAAATTAAACGAATAATTTAATTTCCAAAGGACACAGTCACAGTAGGAAATATAACAAATTGAAAAGTAATCATGGATAAACTACTACTATCACAATATTATTTATTTAAAAGAACCTCTATTTCAATAAGAATACACATAATTGCAACATCTAATAAGTTATCTCATTTTTCTTCTTTATAATTTGAACTTCTGTCATTCTCATTGTTGTTCTTGCAAATCCTTAGGCCTCAGATCATACATAAATAATTAGAGAAGGTTGTGGTCCGATGCTTGCTAGGGTGAACATTCAGCTGATATGGCAAAATTGCACAGTGAATGGCAGTTGGTATTTGCTTTCACTATCATAGATCATTGTTTGTATTAGGCTGACATAATATTCAACAGTTAGAAGAGAAAGATTCAACGGGGCCTTTAAGTGTGCAAAAGTTTGCCTTTGTTAGTATGACGAAAACCAATCATTATGTTGATAAATCCATTTTAAAATCTTGGGATATTCATTTTCTGAATGCATTAAAAGGGGAAAATTATGTAAATATTTTTTTAATTTCAGAATCTGGTTCTAAAGCTGGGTGGGTGGAATATGCAACGCAATTACGGTAATTCTGAAGATCATTGCTCGTGGCAGTACAAACTAAACGGTGATAACTTGCATGCTGTAGAAGAAGACACAAATTGCAGTTCCAGATGCATTAAATGCTTTGAGGTCTAGGGAGTAGCAGTGGGCAATACTAAGAGTGAAATTCAAGGTATAGGGAAGTAGGAATGAAAATTACTTTTATCAGATAACTTAAATGGTTATGTTACTAAGCGTTCTTATTGGAATGTAGGTTTCTTTTAAATAATAATACTATGATAGTTACCAGTAGTTCATTCATGAATATTTTTGATTGGTTATGATCTTATTGTAATCACATCCTTCAAAATTAAATTGATTGCTTAATTTCCCCCTTGATTTCATACTATAATATTAGTAAAAAGGAAGAAAAAAGTCTGCAAGTAAACATAACTCCTCTTTCTCCTCTTCTCTCTATATATATATAGTATGTATCTTCGTGTGCAACTAAGCAAACAAATGTGACTTTTTCTTCTTTAAAAAAATTGTGTAAATAAATAGAATTAAGTTCATTTCAAAGACTTATGACACATGAAATATACATGATCAAAATAAATTAGAAAATTAAGTTCAAATAAATTTTAAGCTAAATTACGTGTTGCAATGTAAGTTGCAATAATTCAGTTGTAATAATTAATACTAACAAAACCAAACATCATATTCCCATTCTGCAAAGTATAAAAATTCTTCTGCAAAACTGAAAAAATGACCAACACTTTGGCTTATTTGATAACTTTCAAATTTCACTCCTTTGTTTGCATTTAGAATTTATAACTTTAATTTTCCACAGAAATTTGTTTTTGATTTTAAAAAATTTCACTGGCATAATTTTCATTCACTTCAGCATATATTAATAGATGCAGAAGGTTTTTGTACCTTACATAATTTTAAATCTTATGTAAACTAACGTAATTAATAACAAAATCAAAACATAGATCAGAAACTGCATAAAATTTAATTAATAATTACTACTAGTGTCACACAAAATGCTATGAAATTAATTAATAAAATAAGAATGAGATAAAATATATAGAATTAATATTCCACATGTGTGAAGTTTGGAAGTTTTACGTTAAATATTTTTTTTTAATTAAGTATTTTTAAAAATGACCCCTTAAAGCATGGGACCTTTCGTAATTAGAACTTGCAAATCCACTTCGCTAGTCTTTCATAACATTGCTTTTCTTTTATTAAACAAGAAATATTGCATTCAGTTATTTAATTTAAGATATCAAAATAATGCTACTGAAAGGCATGAATACTTACTTAAATTTGAAATTAATTTGGTTGACTTAAAATATATTTAAAAATAAAAATCTTCATATACAGTGTCTCAAAAAGTGATGGACACTTGTGCTTTACAAAGGAAACTGCAATAAAATAAATTTAAAACATGTAAAATTTTTGTGGGGTGGTTTCATACTTAAATTTAGTAACAATTTACATAACATACATTTTCTCAAAATATTAAAATATAATTTAATAAAATACAATTGTTTAGAACGGACAAATGGCTCATTAAGTGATGGGACACTACGTACTATGCCAACAAAATCGTCTGAAGTAAGCAATAAAAATATCTTTTGGGTATTTATTTTTACTCAAAGCAATTGCAATAATTTTACAAAATCGTCTGCGTATTTCTCTCCAGTTTGTTTTGGAAATTTTTGTGTGTTTGCTCTGTGCCCATGATGCTAAAAAAGAAACTTTGCCTGGAATTCGAAATTAGTTATTAATTTGCCATTGAAAGTGGAAAATCTATTAGAAAACTACTGAAACAGTTAACTTCATCATTCAAAGTTTCAATATCATTAAACGATATAAAAAGAATCATATGATTCAGGATAACAGAAGACCTCGCCGACCATCAAAGCTATCCAAAGGAATAAAGCGAATTATCGTTGGAAATATTAAAAAAAAACTCCAAGAATGAGTGCTCCTATAGTTGCTGTCTGATTTACAAGCATTATATGGAGTAATTGTTAATCCTGAGACTATTATAAGAGTAATTAGATATGCTGGATATCACGGTAGAGCAGCCAGGAAAAAATTCTTCTTGAGTGAAAAGAATAGACAACTCAGACTGGCTTTCGCAAAATCCAACATAAATAGGAATTCTGATTACGAATGAAGTTATATTTGTGATGAGAGTAAATTTAATATATTTGGTTCTGACGGTAGAATCTTGGTGGGGAAAAACCCAGGGAAGAATTTCGCAAACAGAACTTGGTGCCAACAGTAAAACATGGTGTAGGAGGAGTTATGGTTGGGGGTGTATGTTGTCCGCTGGGTTGGTAATTTGTTTTTATTGACAGTATATGGATCAGTAACAAGTATATTGACATGTTAAATCAAAATTTGAATCTTCAGCACGAAAATTGAACCTTCATAACGATTTAAATTCTACGGGACAATGACCCCAAGCACAGTGCTTAACGTTAGACTCT